TGTCATTTTCTAAAAAAAAAAAAGTATATGCTTTATAAACAAAAATGCGCGCCTTGCACTGCTCTGCGATGCGCGTCCATGACTTCACGTAGTACGTAATTACGTTGAAAAGGTTACGCTTGACGTAGGCGGAAGTACCGACTCAGTGTTTACAAATGTAGAGAAGGAGTACCGTTCAAAAGTTGTTGTCACATATTCAAATGTCTTTGTGTCAGCTTATCGTTTAAAATGGTCACTTCGTGTGCGTATCCTGGATGTTTGAATCTTTTGAAACCTAACTTCCGCCTCACCATATTTGGAAACACATAGCATCTCCACGACATGGTGGCAGCAACAATACTACAGCAAGAATAAAAGTTACACATTCTTTCTTTGTGTAAACATTTGGGTGGTGTTATGCAAATCTTCCAACACCGTAGATATGTGGGGGTGTGTTTGAATGAAGCGTTTTAGGAAGCCGTTTAACTTTTATAAAGAATATCTCTCTTTTGAGTTTGAGACTTTAGTCTTTGCAACTTTACGGATCTTATCTATGCACGAACAGCTTGTAACACTCGAAAGAGAAAGGAAAACTTGAAATTGCATCATATGACCCCTTTAAGTTAAAATCTATCAAATTTTTACAACTAGTGCATTGGAAGACTGTTTAAAGCTCATTTTTCTTCATTTCAGGGCCTGCGATACCCGTGGGTGTTGATGTTCAGCTTGAGAGTCTGGCCACCATCTCTGAAGTAGATATGGTAGGAGACTGACACGTGTGTTTTTAAATATGGCTTACAGATTTCAGAGTGCATCATGAATGCTTCAGTGCTATCCTGATCTTTTCCACTCTGAGATTGTGCCACAGGATTTGGATTAGGGCAAAAGCTCAAATTCAGCAACCAGTAACCTTTCCAAGCACCCTAGATGTGTTGACAAATAGCCTGTTTTTTTCTTATATAGAGGGCTCTTGGGATAGAAATGAGGCTACTGTTTAAACTGTTTATGTTAAGACGAATGGCTGATTGGATCGTATGCTACAGGACTTCACCATGACCCTATACCTGAGACATTACTGGAAGGACGAGCGACTGTCCTTTCCCAGCAACACCAACCAGAGCATGACCTTTGATGGCCGGCTGGTAAAGAAAATCTGGGTACCTGACACATTTTTTGTCCATTCCAAACGATCCTTCATCCATGACACCACCACGGAGAACGTCATGCTCCGAGTGCATCCTGATGGCAAAGTGCTCTATAGCTTGAGGTAAGTGTCACAAATTACTCACATGCACATACATTCTGATGATCTTACCTCAAAGCTCTGACAGGCTCTTATTCAGGCTTCGGTTTTCATTTTGTATTTAACAACTGACCTCTCCGAACTGCGGAAACACACACTATAATCCCCATCAAAGCTGGAGAAACAGATTGCCAGCCATCAGAAGAGTTATGTTACGTCCGGCTTTGCTGTAGATGTATGACATTGCTGGGTCTAAACCTAATCAGTGAGAGAGACTCATATATCGCTCAATAAACCAAAATATCTTGTTTTTCTATCAAACCTCTTTGATGTAAACCAGCAGTCATTTTTCTGACATTTAGGATTTCCATGTTTGCTATTACGTTTTTTTGTTGACCAAGATCTGTCATCTCTAAGAGGTGCTGATCCTAGTTTTTGCTTTAGATGAGTGAACGTGTGGATTAATATGTGGGAATCTGTGGGATTAATGCAAGCCACATGTAGATTCAGACACAAACTGGCTCATTGGTGAGTTTTAATCTCAGAAACGTCCCGCACCCAGTCTGCGGGACAGAATGAATTTATTCTTCTATGTACATGTCGATTTACAATCTATAAGTCAATCCGTTGTGTCAAGGCCATCTTCTCCCTACACCCTCTCAACCATTTCATCTAGAATCTTCCCTTTTACCCAAGGCCAGATGGCCATCTGTAGGGTTTTCAGAATTCAGAAAGTAGAAAACATTCAGAAAGTAGTCTAACCCCTAAGTTTATGTTGCAGACTTATGCTATTTTTTATTTTTCATAATGACAAAGCAAAAAAAATTTTTTAATAACTACAAATTTGTTAAAGAATAAGTATTCACCATAACAAATTGTACAGTAATTTCTGTCCTCATATTTATATCTTAAAGACACATTGAAATTGCTTGACGAGTGCAGTTGTTTTTCCTTTGTTGAAAAAATTGCCCCGTCTATTTTTTGCATATTTTTTTTCTGATCTTAAAACAAAACATATGAATGCATAAAAATGACCCTACAGAAACACAGTAAGATAAATCAATGAGATACATTTCGATACAAAAGCAAAAAAAGAAGAACATGCTCTTGAACAACAATGGTGGTTCATGTTAGTTTTCTGGACATTATTTCTGCATTATAAGTCCTTGCTTCTCTTTCAAAGCCCTGCAAGTGTTCGGGAACCACTGCTTTAGGCCAGGGGTCTCCAATCCTGCTCCTGGAGATCTACTGTCCTGCAGAGTTCATTCTTGACACAAAGTGGTCAAACCTTGAATAAAGCTAAGGGACAGTGTTTAAAAGCTGCTGCATTTGCCTACAAATCAAGATATTCACTGATCTTTACCTTTACCTCAAAGGATAGTGCAGAGTCACCCTGTTCTACATGACTACAGCATTGGCTGCATTTTCCAAATAAATGGAAAGGCTAAGGACAGGGTAATATGTTTCACATTCCTAAGTGCATCTAAAACAGCTTTTGGCATCTGATACCATTTCACGAGTTCGCCTGCCCATTCAGCCCTGCCAGGTAATGGTAAACGAACTTAGCTTGCTGTCCGCGAAGGAGGCTCGAAACCCGAGGCTCGGCTCGAGCTATAAAACCCCCTATAATGGTACAGTGTGGAGGAAAAAGAGAAGGAATTAGAGGAGGAGAAGGGAGGGGTGCCGGAAGAATTGTCACTGGAACGGAGCAATGGCTGCTGCTTATATATGGTCGTAACGATGATTGACAGGACTGGATGATTACGGTCCTCCCGAACCTGCGTTAGGAGCTTAATTTCATTCGGTCTTCCACCAGCACAGCACACACAGCCTGCAGCTGCTTCAAAAACAGTTCCACCATACCGTAAAAGAGGAATTCCAGCGAGTGGGTTCATCATGTAAGAGCTTATGGTCTGGGAAGGACAAGTCTTTCTGTTTCTTGGCCAGCTGACACGAAAGCATTGGTTATCTGGTGAATGCAGATATGGGTTTTGAAACCTTGACAGCAATGCAGACACCCTGTTCTTTATATATTGCTTCGTTCACAGCAAAATGGATGCAACAAATGTCTCGTTTATAATGGGTTTTATTGGTTTTGTGTCGTCGCTCCGGCCGGACATGGCATCACAATATGGTAACCCTTACGAAAAAGAAGTTTGGGTTTTGAAACCTTGACAGCAATGCAGACACCCTGTTCTTTATATATTGCTTCGTTCACAGCAAAATGGAGATTGTGCCTGAAACGCTGATTTTTTCTGCCATTTTTCTCCAAATTTCTCTTCAAAAGCTTCTTAGCGGTGTGTTGTCTGTGTGTTATCTCAACAACATCCAAGAGACCAGGATTGCAGTTTCCATTATTTATTTATATGCTGCAGAGTTCTCTTCGTGTCCACAGATCAGTTTTGCAACGGTTTCTATCAGAGATGCTAGATTATGAGGTGATTCATTATAGATGTATCTCTGTGTACGTGAAATAATTTTGACTTGGAAGCTGATGGTTGAGGTTAAACTGTTATAACATTTGCTAGGATATGTGTTTTCTGAATGTGTAGACAGGAACAGGAACAAATTTCAGTAACACCCTGGTTCAGTTTTCTTGTTTCAGGTTTCTCATATTTAAATGCCTCTGAAAAGATTAGTGGGTCATGTTCGTCCTCCTCAGCATGATGCTGTGAAAAAAAAATAGAAATTTCCGTAATAAGCGAGTGGCAGCCTATAATAATTTTTTTCAGTGAGTCACACACACGAAAAAGAAGTTTAGTCAAGTGTGCTATTAGTATACTTCTTTTAAACTAAAAATAGGAAAGTATACTTTTAGTCTACTTTTTATGTACTTCTCAGAAATGGGCTTTATGTACTTCTCAGAAATATACTTAAAATTACATTTAAGTATACTTGACTTATACTTGAAAATATATTTGAGCTACTGTATACTTGTGCTCCTAGAATCCTAGAAACACAAGTGAAGAAGAAACCGAAACAACAGATCCACATGTAATCTAACACGATCATCAGACATAAAACAGCATCAAAACTGTGTAACGTAATGAAATAAAATGTCGACCAATGAAGAGGTACTAATGACTGTCAAGCTTTGGGGTGTTGATCGACTTTATCTACGTTTTGATTATCATTCTGAATCCAATTCATAGTCTTTTTTCAGCTTTTTGTTCAAAATGTTGTTTATTTCTTTATTTTTTATTTATGAAACTTATCCACATTCAAGTGTTTAAAAAAAGAATGCATGAAGCTAGAATAAAATGTTTTTGTTTACAAGCAGATACCCTGTTCTTTTGATGTTTTGTATGTTCAGATATTCATATAACAAAATATATACTTAATACCTAAATAGGGACATAGTAGTATACTTGAAGTATGATGTAAAGTTCACTTAAAGAAAACTTACGAGTATACTTATAAAACTACTAAACTAGTAGTTTACTGAGACTATACTTCAAAGTGTACTAAAATGCAGTATTTAATTAGTAAACTATCAGTGTACCTATAAGTTCACTTTTACTATAGTTGCAGTACAAGCTAAAAATATAGATGTAAACTAGTTGTGTACTCAAAGTTTACTACTGTTATACTTAAAGTATACTTAAAAGTATACTTTATATACTAGAAAGTTGGCCAATTTAGTCCCACGGAGTATTGAAATAGTACACTTACAAGTATACTAGTACACCGATATTTGTATACTTACTACATAAAATATACTTAAAAATATACTTGAACTTTACTTAAGTATACTTAATAAAATAAACTTGAAGCTTGCTTTTCAGACCGATGAGCTTTGTAAAAATCGACGCGTTTCAGAAAGGCGGGGCATAGAGGAGAAACAATAATGTACAGTATGTGGAAAATAATGTGTTTTTTGACATTTCATTACACCAAATACACAAAATAATGTTCTTTTTAGCAACGTCATATGACCCCTTTAAATGAGTACGGTGGCGTTCTTTACCGAAGAATATACGGGTGAGGAAAAGTGAGGAGTAGGCACAGAAAGTTGCTAAAAGGAAAAAATGGGGTAAATCCAGTGTCAGGGTGGGCGTGCAATGGGAGCTACTTCCCGGGAGCAGACAGATAAATAACGGCAAGTTGCCGATCTTTAATTTCAAACCCGCTTTTGTGGGGTTCTACTTGATGAAAGCAATTGCTGTCAAGTGCTCTTGATCATGCAGCTCCATCCAGGTGTGTGTGTCACTGATTGTGGATTTCAAGGAAAGAAATCCTTGGCTTGTGAAACGATGAATTAGCACAAATCTAATGACACAGCATTTTTTCACCAGCCTTTTATTGTGGTACAGTGGTAGCTGCGTTATTTTGTTGGGGTTATGTAGTATCTCCACCTCAATCCTGATCCTTGGCCTCAAATGGCAGTAATTAACCTAAGTTAATGTCTTTTTCTGAACCCTTTTGAGAAGACAAAATGCTTCTTGCATGTTGCATAAGACTTTTATAGTGAAATGTCCTGTGATTGGTGCTTAAATTGCGTTCAGTTTTATCCAAAACAGATATTATACTGTTAATGCCCTATTACATGCAACCTACACTGAGCCCTAGCCTAAACCTAACTAATAGCGATAAAGCAAACATGTGATAAAAACACATTTGCTAAAGCAACTATACCATTTTAGCCTGCTTCTGCAAGTCTTTGAGCTCTTATATTGTGACTCGTGTTTCATAGGACTTGTACCCGAGCACTTCACAATGTAATTGCAGTGCTGGTTGAGCTACCGAGCAAGTTTATATGGCAGAAATGCCATAAATGTGGAGCTGATTATGTGATGCAAACATCAAAATGTATTTACAAATGATGCACTATGATAGAGGTATTTAGAGGAGCCACATGAAAATAAGCCTTTGTTAATTGATGTCTGCCCCTGTAATCATAATTTGTGTAAAAAGGAATAAAAGTTGTTGCTGTTTTGCTGCCATTAGTGTTCATTTCAGCTGGAAACTGCAGTGAATTGTATGTATAGGTACAGTTTTGGAGTTTTGCAAACATGTAGGTAGAGGCATGTTTTTCCAATGAACCTATGTTGCTTGTTTGAAATAGTAGCATATTGAATACTATAGCAAAAATGCAGGATCCTACATCAGTTCAAAGCCTATTTGTTAACAAGACTCCTCCCCCTGGAAACAAATAACAGGATTATGAATGAAATAACTTACAGCCCACGTAGTATAGTCATTTTCGGTTGAAATCGCTAAAATAAAGGAGACAGTTTACATATTATGGATTTGTTCACAAGTTTTAATTACTCCAAACACATTCAACAGGGTTACAGTCACAGCGATGTGCAATATGGATCTCAGTCACTTTCCCCTGGACACCCAGACATGCTCACTGGAGATTGAGAGCTGTGAGTCTAAACACAACACAACTGATTTTCATGATTGAATCAAACAACAGTAATGTGACGTAATATTGAGTAAAGCAGGATATTCCGTATTTATTTAGTGTTTCAGTGTTTGTGAGATCATTTGTATGCTGTTATTTTATTTTCAGATGCCTATACTGATGACGACCTCATGCTGTATTGGAAGAGAGGAAACAAATCTCTGCAGACTGATGAGAAGATCTCTCTGTCTCAGTTCCTCATTCAGGAGTTTCACACCACCTCAAAACTAGCTTTCTACAGCAGCACAGGTACTGAGGATTGACTGAGGATTGACTCCAGTACAGTTAAGAGTGTCTGCAACTGATCCTTCACTAACCCCACCTTAAAACCAATACGGAACAGTTTTACATTGACCGTCATTACCATCCTCCATATTGTCTCATGTAATTTAAAGGGATAGTTCACCCAAAAATGAAATGAGAGATAGGTGGCGGTAATGCACTTATAAGTCTGCGATCCGCCCTAAAAGAAGAAGACGCGTCACGCGCCGGCTGGAGAACGCGCTCAGGACAGTTCGGACATTGCGTGAATCAGAGGTAAAAAATTATATAAATACTGCTCTGTTTCTTGCAGAGACCGATCGTTTCGTGTCTTTACACATCAATGTATCGTCACGAGCCGCAGGCTTTGATTTGGTTTTGTTTGTGTATGTTTTTTTTTACTCTCAAAGCCGTGATTCCCATTCACTTCCATTATATGACTGATTTTTTTTTACTCTCAAAGCCGTGATTCCCATTCACTTCCATTATATGACTGACAGACTGCAACGGTTTGAGTTAAAAATCTTCGTTTGTGTTCTACTGAAGAAACAAAGTCACCTACATCTTGGATGCCCTGGGGGTAAGCAGATAAACATAAAATTTTCATTTTTGGGTGAACTATCCCTTTAAGTCATGTTTCACCGTAATTCCTGACTAGCAAAGACTGTTAAAGCAGTTAATATTTAAAATTACTATTTAAAATGACTATAACTTTATGAAACTACTTAGCATTTTTGATGCAATGCAAAAAATAACCAAAATGGCAGTTAAATACAGTTCAGTTAGAGGTAAAATAAAAGTAAAATGTATATAGAAGTTATCTAGATAGAATTTATGCAGGATACATATAGTATTTTCTTTTCCCAAACCTTTAGATTAATCGGTAACGCTTTAGATTACAACGTAGTTACAGGGTAAATACAACATTTGCGGGCTGTAAATTAAAGTGGTGCTTCGTTCCCCCTTGTTCCATGTAGTTACAGGGTAAGTGGCTACAACAAATTGCCCTGAAACGATTGTTTATGCAGTAGGTCATACATATATACTTTATATAATAGGTAATGTATCAATAAACATGGTGGACTGTTTTATTTAATTCAAATATTGTTTGCAATTTACTGTAGGCCTACTGCTGGGTTAAATTAACCCAAAATGGGTTTTAAAATTAAAATCACACACAATATGACAACAGTAACAACACAGGCAACAGATAGCCTAATAAAAGATTAAAATGTATTACACCAGTTAAAAAAAAAGCAAAGCAACTTTTACGTATACAGATTAAACAGTTAAACCAAATTCTTTTGAAAAGCTTGTTTAAGAATAAATAGATTTTGTTCAATTTGTTCATGTTTTTCACCCACTGACTTAATGACTAATTGATTAACTAGTAATGACTAGTTAAACTATTATGGCCAAACCATCACGCCAATAAACACA